ATCCTTTAACTTAACCTGAGCATTCCTTTCCACTGATCCCAGGTCTTAGATAAACTCAACCAATTGTTAACCCGGAAATGTTTTAATTAAGCTACAGTCTGGAAGCCTCCCCCGCCCCCACTTTGAATTTTCCTGCCTTTCTGAACCAAACCAATATATTTCTTAAATATATTTGATTGATGTCTCATGCCTCCCTAAAAATATATAAAACCAAGCTGTACCCCTGCTACCTTGGGTGCATGTTCTCAGGACCCCCTGAGGGCTGTGTCAAAGGCCATGGTCACTCATATTTGGCTCGGAATAAATCTCTGAAAATATTTTATGGAATTTGACTCTTCTCATTGACAGTAGTTTCAATTATGTGTTATAACTCCTAGCATTTTTAACTTTAAGATAAAACTTGGTAAGTTGCTTTAATCGTGTACTAACTGCAGACAAGGTTTGCTTCTTAATTAAGGGTGTGTTTATTCCCTATGTCCCCAGTTGTAAAGCCAGCAAGTCAAAAAGCTCTCAGAACCCGAAAAGTACTTCCTACCCTTAAAACACTTAGCAAATCTTGCATCTGATCTGCAGTTTGCCAATAATCTTTAAGGCTGTTTTTATTTCTCAAAGATTAAAGTCATGTGAACAGAAAGGTACTACAGATTTATATTCCCTTTAAAAATTACTTGATCCAAGCGCTTGTCTTACTTTACGACAAATTCATCAGAGCTCTTTCGACAGACATTATACACAATAGTACGCACAAAGACACGCAGAAGGAAATCTAGTTGCTGGATGGGGCCCTTTAAGAGACAGGGCTGGGAAAACATACAGATACCAAACCAGAAAGAAACTTATTCCCTAACGCAGGTTTGCTAAACAAAGCTTTGCCAAGCAGTTACAGGCCATGCCACCAGGATGTAAAAACAATATGGAGGCTTGTAGTATAAACCATACAGACATGCAAAGCACACCAGATTGGCCACAGCCCAAGACTAGCCCCACAAATCCTTTTTTACAATTAAGCTTTACAGAAAAAATAAACAGTGATCATTAGGGAGGGGTTCTGGCTTAGCAAAGAGGGAAAATATCTTTAAAGCTTAACTCCTGATGGGGTGGAGAAGGGGAAAGAGAAAAGTTTTTAAATATCTGGGGAAGAACATCTTATTTTTATGCAACTAATTCCTCCACCAGGAAGAAAAGATTAAGCTTAATTACTGTCCAATAGAGTTAACCCCATTAGCCAGGGAAGGGGAAGGCTGTGGCAGCAGGGAGTGGGGATCAGCTGGGCGCTGCTGCTTACCAGGTCCTGAAAAAGGAAGGAAAAGACCAGGTAAAGGTCCCCCACCCCAGGAAGCGACAGGGGGTGATGGTGTGGTTTCCTATAAGCTCAGAAGTCCAAGGAAGAAAAGGCTTAGAAGCCACAACAAGATGTTTTGTGTTCCCATTTCAGTCACTACTTCTTGAGTACCCACTTTGCACACCAAAAATGTTGCAGGACTTTTCCTTAGCGCAGCTAAAGATGGCGTTCTTTGACTGTCCCATGGCCTTGAAAATTCAGGCTCACAGAAAATCTGAATGATGAGTAAGACAGGGATTTATTGGGTGAAAAAGAAGGAAAGGGGGAAACAGGGACTCTCTCTAGGCCAGAGTCCCTGCTAGAGCACTTCCTGCCAGATTGCTCAAATCCCAGTTTCCACAGGAAGAGGAAGGGCCTGGTTCCTCTCCACTGCAAAGGGTGTGAACTTCTCAAGGCTCCATTTCAGTGGGCAGTCTTGTTGGAGTTTCTCCAGGGAACCCCTCTGACCTGGCTGTCTCATTAATAATTTTCTTTTGGTGAATAATATTTTTCTATTTAATATATCTGTGAGTTTTATCTAGTTGTTACATGTATCAATACTTTATTCTTTTTTACTGCTCTACAGTTTTTCATTGTATATGCCACAATTTAATTATCTTGCTCCTTCTTGTTGATAAACATTTGGGTTGTTTCTGGTTTTCGACTATTATGAGTAATGCTGCTGTATATATTCTTGTCTAAAAGGGCCATGTACACTCATGTTTTTGCCCTCCTTTCTCTTGGTTCACTGAATTTTCAAGTCATACAGTTCATATATATTTAGCTTTATTAAATACTGCCAAACAGTTTCTGAAGTGTATTACAGGCGTGAGCCACCACGCGGAGCGAGAATTTTTTGATATATAAAGGAGGTAAACTACTTAAAACGAAACTGAAACTTCTGATTCACCAGTTCCCCCTTCATTTAACAAATATATCACAGATCTCAGGTGTGGCAACAGGGTATCATCTTAATATATTTAACCAGGAAATAAATTAGATTCTAAATAATCCTACCACTTAATCAAATTTAAAAGTAAGAAGCAACTATACTGCAAATGGGCTTTTGAAGCCGGTTTTTATTGTAATTGTTATTTTCCTCTTTAGTTCTTTTTGCTGTTTGTTCGCTCATATTGGCATTGCTCTGTTATGGATTTTAGTGCGATTTGGGGGTCTGGGTGATGGTGAGGTTATTTTAGATTTTGTCTGGCTTTTCGCTTGTTGGTTTCTGTTCGTCGTCCTTTTTGTTGGTTCGCACCATCTTTTTTTGTATCTGTGGACTAGAGTTTCCTTCTCATTTCTGAGTTGGCTTTTTGCTCTTTTTGTGTTGTTTTATCAACGATTTACGTCTTATTGGCATTTTACTTTTCTTTCTTTTTTTTTTTTCTTTTTTGTTTCTGTGTTCTTTTCAATGCCTCTTTGCTTTCCCACGTTCTTGGAGATTTTTTTCTTTGTGTTACTTTGTTGTTTTGCTTTTTGCATTTATTTGTCTGTTTATCTTTAGTTTTTATGCATTGTATTAATTTTCTTTGTTCTTTGTTTTTGTTTGTGGATTTTGTATTGACTCAGCATGGTTTAGTAAGCTTACCCTGCCTTTTCTACTGAATTTAGTGTGGTTTTTGTGGTCATTGAGGAAACCATATCTTTTGGGGTGTGTTTTTGTTTTTCTTTTTTTGTACCGACAGGTTATTCTGTTTTTTGTATCTTGTATTTTCATTTTTCTAGCTGGTTCTTCTTTAATTTTATGTTCTTTTGGTTATCTTCTTAGTCTTTTACCTTCATCTCCTTTTTTAGCTTTTCCTCTGTTGTTTGATATAAATTTGAGAGTTAACTTGTTAGTTTCTCTCCCATGCACCCTTGTTCCTTACTTTTGGGTTTTTAATTTTTTTTGCTCTGAATCTAGAGATCATTCTTCGTACTGGCATCTTTTTCTATTTTGGTTTTGCTTTCTATTTATTTTTTTTCTCCCTTCAGTTTTTTAGGTTTTTAATTTCTGTCATCCATTTTTGGTTGCTTTTAGTGTTTATATCTTGTATGGTGTTTTTGTGTTTTATCCTGTTTTGTCTTGATCTGTGTCATTTTTTTGCGATGTTTATAGACTCTCTCTTAATTTTTGTCTTATTTCTCGGGTGCTTTTTTCTTTAGGTGTCTCCGTTGGTCATTTTCCTGTTCTGTGTGTTGTTTTTCTTAGTATTCTGTATTCTTATTTCCCTTGTTTTCCTATTTTTGTTGGCAATGTTTTTTGTTGTATAGTTGCTTCTTACTTTTAAATTTGATTAAGTGGTAGGATTATTTAGAATCTAATTTATTTCCTGGTTAAATATATTAAGATGATACCCTGTTGCCACACCTGAGATCTGTGATATATTTGTTAAATGAAGGGGGAACTGGTGAATCAGAAGTTTCAGTTTGGTTTTAAGTAGTTTACCTCCTTTATATATCAAAAAATTCTCGCTCTGCGTGGTGGCTTACGCCTGTAATACCAGCACTTTGGGAGGCCAAGATGGGTGGATCACGAGGTCAGGAGTCCAAGACCAGACTGACCAACATGGTGAAACTTTGTCTCTACTAAAAATACAAAAAAAAACTTAGCTGGGCTTGCTGGCATGCACCTGTAGTCTCAGCTACTCAGGAGGCTAAGGCAGGAGAATCGCTTGAACGTGGGAGGTGGAGGTTGCAGTGAGCCCATATCGTACCACTGCACTCCACTCTGGTGACAGAGTAAGAGTCCGTCTCAAAAAACAAACCAAAAAACTTCTAAGTTATTAAACCCAAACATCAATTTTAGACATAGAGAATTAAAGTTGTGATTGCATGATGCCAAAATATTTAATGAATTGAGTTTAAATTTTTAAGCTAAGAGTCTTAACTCTTCAGTAGTACAGTTATCTTGGCATAATTCAAAAATTGGCTGTAATTTTGTCTGAATTAACTAGTAAATTTGCAGATTTACTAGTTTATTTGCAGATTTTACTAACCTGATTCCATTTAAACATATCCTAAGATACTGAAAAATTGATGTTTGCATATTCATTACTGTATTAGTGTGTAGTGAGTAATATTAAACATGTACACTCACTGAGTTGAGACTATCTTTTGTTTCTTTGAATATCACTAAGTGCCTTGGCACAAAAGCAAACTTTCTCAGTGATTTTATCTATTTTTTAAAATTATAGACCACTTTTATATGGTAGAGATCTTTGCTTCTTAAATTTTATATTGGTAACTTCCATGTATGTTCCCTTTAGTTTTAAAAGTTTAGTATCACCCAACACCAAAACTTGAATTAAAGTTGTGATAAAATATAGTAGTAGTTCACTTGTTTTACTATTGTACGTTGAATATGAAAGTTTAATGATGTTAAAACTAGCTTATTTCCAAATGTCAAGGATACATAAAGTGTTCCAATAATAGTTATAATAATAATGGCTAAAACTAACAAGTATTCTTGTGAACCAAGCAGTGTTCTTAGCACTCTACGTAAATAACCATATGTAACCCTCACAAAAACCCTGAGGTGGGTAATGTTTTTATCCTCATTTTACAGAAATTTAATAAATGGTTTAATTTATTTCCATTTTATCTTAAGTTTCTGACTGTACTGTGTATTTCAATTTCATTTGAAGAATTTAATAGAAAACATAATGCAAATCTTCTGTGCTTTTTTTTTTCTTAATAGAAGAGTCATGCCCTATCCTGAGAGTAGAGAGACATCAGCTGACATATGACAATATAAACAAACTTGAAGTTTCAGGTATGCAATATAATCCTTTGCAAAATAATATTTTATCTAAAATTATCACCAGATACTAGATATGGAATACATGTAGGTGAATCTTTGACACTGCAATTTAAGATCATAGCATTAATATAAAAATGTTAATAATTATTTTTATTTATTTTTATTTTTTATTTTTTTGAGACAGAGTCTCACTCTTTCGCACAGGCTAGAGTGCAGTCATACAGCATCAGCCTGCTGCAACCTTCACCTTCTGGGTTCAAGCAATTCTCCTGCCTCAGCCTCCCGAGTAGCTGGGACTACAAGTGCATGGCTAATTTTTATATTTTTAGTAGAGATGGTGTTTCACCATGTTGGCCAGGCTGGTCTGTAACTCCTGGCTTCAAATGGTTCATCTGCCTTGGCCTTCCACAGCGCTGGGAATGCTGCCATGAGCCACCGCACCTGGCTCATAAAAATTTAAGGTAGATGATGTAGAAAAAATTCTGAGAGCAGGGTTCTATATGTTTAATCTGTGATCAACAACACCTCAACCTCTTGGAGAAAAAAAAAGTTACTTAAAATTATAAAAGTTGTGTCCATTGTAGACATTTTGGAAGAAGAAAAAAAAAATTGTGAGAAGGAAGATGTCACCACCCAGAGAAAGACAAGATTACCATTTTGGTAATCCTTTTTATCTTTCCTTTTGGTAATCTTTCTTCCTCCTTCTTTTCCTCTTCCTCCTCTTCTCTCTCTCTCCACACTCATAATTCTTCCATTCCATTTTTAAGCATTTCTTCTCATCAGTATACATTCTTTAAAGCATAATTTTAAAAAAGTCTGCTTAGATTTAAACTGAATGGCTGTACTATTTTTAATCTAATTTTCTTTCTTTAGACATCAGAGCTGCTGCAATGAGTTACACTAATTTTTACTTAAGATAATTCCTAGGGTAAAGGAAATTAAAATTGAGCTTTTTTGAAATATATTCATGATTTTTTTTTTTCAGAAAAATGGCTCTATGTTCTATATGACAAAGTGAATTTCATTCTCTTTTACCCTAAAAGGAGAAAAATAAAATCAAGAAATTTTGCTGATCCCAAGCAGCAAGATTTTATTTGAAGTAGACCAATCAATAGTTAAGGGCAACACAAAATCCTGTTTAGAAATCAACATTTCTATTAGTTTATTAAATTCAATAAAACTGCTGTATTGAATCGTTTGTTACCTTTTACAGGTTTTGATCTAGGAGAGAGCTTTTCTTTGAGACGTGCATTTTGTGAAAGTGATAAAACCTGTTTCAAATTGGGAAGTGCACTTCTTATTAGAGACACTGTGTAAGTAAAAAAAATTATTTTCTTCATGTTTAATAATACTTCATAAATTATTTTCTAAGGAGATTTCAAATAATTTATTTTAAAAATAAAGTTTCTTAATAGCATCATCCTCACTAGAATGCAGTGGTAAGTGTTTTGTTAATGTATTTGTTGTTTATAAAAATCACTGCGATCTAATCTTTGTTCTACAGTGTAAATACGATTTATATGTACAGAAAAAGGCATGATCATTAAAGAATAATAATTAAATCCATTTCTGAAGAAATATTGTTTATGTTTAAAGTAGATTTATTAGATTTTTCAGTGTAAAGATTAAAACATAAGACATTATATAGATTCAGAGCCAAAAGACTGATATTTATTGTATATATTTTTGGATTTTCTATGCTTCTTAAGTTAAAATAACAGAATTTAGCTCTTATGTGCTTCTTTCATCTATTCTCCATGTATGGAGTACATGGTAAATAAAAGGCTGTTATGTGCTTTTATTTTTAGTCTTGATACTCATTTAATTTTAAAACAGATTTACCAGAGTTTTTCCCTTGTTATTTTTTCTTTCTGTTTTCTATGGATACACTCAGATTAAAAAAAAAAAAAATCACTTTCCATTCAAATAGTGACAATTGATCAGCAACCTTACAGGGCAACAATGATTCCCCATATAACCGGCAATAATTAAAGGATGAATTGATAGTAGCTCAGAAAGCTGAGTCATCATACAGCCAGGTAGTACATATGGTCAGGATAATTATTCCAGGAGTCCAAGCTAAATATTCCCATATATGAATATACTGCAATAAAAACCCAACAAAATTCTATTTGGCTTAATATGCAACACAAATGTTTTTATGTGAAAATAACGTATGTATGTTTTCATTTCCTGAGCAGTAGCCTAATATTTAAGACAGGCAAGACTGGGACAATCTCAAAATTTGAATTCTTAAAGGCAAATAGCATTAATCATCTCATTGCCCTTCCTCAGATGTTCTGAGTGTGAATGAGGTTCATAACTCACTTTTTCCTTGAGAAAAGTTTCTTTTAAACCTATTTTGTGATACTTTTGGTAATTTTCATTTAATGACTGAAATGGTTCCTTAAAAGTAAGCTGCTTAATCTTTGACCAGAAATAAGAATATTAAGGAAGGAAGGAATTTCAAATCAGGGGATATAATGGGTGATTATTAGGTGGGACACTTCAGCAGATGCAACTGTATGGCCTGGGCTATAGCGGCCGCTGTTTAGGTGGTCTCATAAGCAGGCGTTAAACTCTCAGGGCACAGCAATTCCATGCTTAAGTATGCATATGTCATAAAGAAAAAATGAGAGGCACAATATTTCTTATGTGTATATTCTCTCCCACTGTCTTCTTTTGGATTTAAACCCCTGTAATTCTGGCCAGATGGCAAAAAGATCAGAGTGAAACCTTTTAAAATTCATTGGACTACATGTGAGAAGACTTAGCTAATTTTAAGTAGCTATATTGGAAAACTTGCTGCCACATTTAGACAATGCTATTTTTCTATGAATTCATGTGATAAATATTAGGCATGACTTGAAATTTGTTTTCTGAATTTTGGGTTCTAACTCACTGCCCAATAAATGTAAGTGAATTCACTGGTTCTTTGGAGTAGAACCCTGGTACCTCCACTAAAGGAAACCAGGGGGTGTCTGGTTTAGCTGACAGTGAGTGTCAAGTAGCTTGGCTCATTTCCACTTACATTTCACTTGTTGAGCCAAGTATGCTAGGATGCTTCTCTTGCATGATGCCATTTTGATTTTTCAATGAGACTGGAGTAAAGTTGCAGCTATTTATGTATTCATAAATAAGCTGCTTTGCAGAGTCAGCATGGGAAAAGGCAGATACTATGTTATGTGGAAAATGCGGATGCTTTCTGTGCCTGAGCTTGCTTTTATTTTTCTGGCATATCCCAGGTGAGATTCATGAGAGGAGAGGCTAATAAGTATGTTGGTCTGATACCTGTTAGGCATACTCAATGCCTTGAAACTTGCTTAATGTAAAATTCCCAAAGATTGCTTTTGCAGGGGCTTTCAGATAAACATCTGTCAGGCCCAGGACACAGGTACTAACAAGGGTAAATCATGATTTACCCTTTTATCTCTGGATAACAATGCATTAACCAAGCGCTTCTGCCCTGGGCGATGGTAGCACACCTAATCAGCTCCCCATGGTTCTTTTTGGTCCTGTTCCCATACTAAAGTTATAGGGAAGCTTATGATAGGCCACACAGACAACACATATCTTCCCTGAAGGACAGTCTCTTCCCCGGCCATTCTCCTACTGATGGTTAATTGTGGAGGCCACACTTTAAATATCCAAAGAATAACTTATAAATTATACCTCAGACTCTCTCCACAGGAGCCACAATAGCCAACCATCTACAGTGAGGGGCTTGGAGGGTCCATGGCCAACGCCAGGTTTTTTCGTTGTTGTTGTTTTCCTACCTTTAGGGGCATTGGGGCAGGCATTAACAGATTACTGTTCATCCCTGTACCTGGTTGGAGAAGGTCATCTTTCCTCTAATAGATCTGGCCACATGGCCTGTCCCTACATGGGTCAGCGACTAACTAGCTAATTGTGTAACTTTCAGGTAATTAACCACAGGTTAAGCCCCGATAAACTGCCCAGTATTGGTGCAGATTACCACAGGTATCACCTCCTTAATAATCACTATCTACACTGCCTTGAGTTCAACTTATTAACTACTTTATCTACACTTGGTTTTAAACCATATGGTGTCAGTATTAGGCTGGACTCTGGCAACAATGAAGGCAGCAGCAGTATTCTGGCTAGATCAATCTGTATACCATGCCCTATCAGGAATTGCAGGGGTGCCTCAGGCTCCATAGCCTTACCTTGCATTAGGACTATAGGCTTCAAGACCTCTTGTAACTCTGCTGCTAAGGGACTTGTACTCAGCGTACCTCACTGCTGTAAGTGCGTGCCCCACTTTGCTAAAGTGGATGTCTGCACCGTCCTTATCCAGGGGTTGCTTACCTATGAGTGTACCTATCCCACTGTTGGGCAAGTCATCTGCATGATGACTGTAGTCTGTTCTGCCATGCTCTTATAAGCCTGAAGGGCAGCATAGGCAGTTACCAACTGCTTCCCAGTCCGGGGGTTGTTATTCAGGAATGCACCCATCCCACTATTAGTAACTGCTTCTCTATTAATAAAAGACTGGAGCTCAGCTCCCTTCCATATTTGAAACCAAAAGCCTACTGGCATTCTCAGGTGCTCTGTGCACTACCATAGGTCCTATATCTGTGGTCACATGCACATCTAGCTACAAGGGCACCTCTGGTGAACTACCTGTAGGGCTTGTGCCTGCTAACTAGCCTGTGTGGCTACCAGGAAGACTGTCTTATCCTCATCATCCCAATCCTAGGCAAGAGGAACATTGCTGCTTCTAAATCTCCAAGAGAATCAGAGGTTAACATAACATCATTAAGTTCATGACATATGGTGGGGCTATGCATATAGCCCTGCAACACTGTGGAAGTTAATTGTCACTCTCCCGTGAAGGCAAACTGACAGCCTTCTGCCTCCCCGAGGGCTGCCATAGCAGTAGTCACTTCATGTAGGCAGCGCCCACATATGGGGTGAGAACAGCAGCTAGAGAGCCAAAAGCACTCAGGGGCACTGAGCCCAGGACAAGATTCCTCATGTGGGAGAGAAAGTGTTTATCATCTGGCCCCCAGGTATTCAGATCAAATGGCCTGCTCTATACCCATCTCCCAAAGTATTTGCACCAAATGAATATATGACTATCCTTTACTCACAGTTTATGGTATTTCTGTGGCATCATCGCAAACAGTCCGTATGGCTGCCATTAGTCACTCGATTAATGTGTGTTCACCATGCCCTGTGCCAACCATTGGTACAGCTACAGCCGCTGATGAAGGGAGGGGTGAGTTGTGATAAAAGCCGGCTTTTCCATCTCAGAGGTGGAGCAAGAAATGCTGTCAGCCCCCTCATCCCAAAGGTGGAGTAGCCAGGCAGGGAGGGGTTCTGGGTGCTACCGACACTGTTCACCTAACTCTCATAACTCAGTGGTGTATGAGCACTATAAGAGGTGTGTGTTCCACCACTGTCAGGGGAGCCCTGGGCACTCCTCTGGATTCCCATCAGATGCTCATGTTCCACCTTATGACGGATGATAGCATGAGCCCGCAGTGGAGGAGCCTCCTCCTCCTCAGGATCAGACCAGTTGGGAGTGTCCAGCCTGGAGGATGGGCTCAAGGTCACACTAACAGCTGTTGTTAAGTCCTGTTCCAGGCTGTTTATCTGGGCCTCCAAGTACACTGCTTGCACCTGGACGTCCCTCACCCACAGGTTCTGCTTCAAGCTGTGCACTTGGGCCCCGAGGCACATGGATTGTACTGGGAGGTCCCTTACCTGTGGGACTGAGCATGTACTTCACGCAGTACAGTCAGAAATGCCCATCCAACTCTGCCGGTAAAGGTGCGTTCCTTCTCAGTGTTGTGTGCTTCCAGCTGCCTCAGTGCTTTCTCCACACTCACAGGAGACCCATCCACTGCCTCCCACATATCCATTGGGGCCCATCCAAGAAGCACCGCTGCCACTGGGTACCATAGCCCATGCTGCAGCCGCATAGGCAACCCGGGATCCCTCAGGGGCCAAATACCCACTCACCTTATCCTGCCAATTGTCAGGTCCATGACTACACCAAATGTTATGCTTGGGGTCAGGTTCTGTCTCATGCTGAGGTACGAAGGGAGTGAGTGGGTGAGCAGATAGCTAAAAGAACACTTGGAAGGCTATAGGCAGGTGAAAGTTAGTTTTATTCAGCAGCTCTCTCGTCAGCAGCTTACATACACTGGCTCACTCACACTGTTTGCCCTGTCTTGGTTGCTTTGTCCGGCAGCTGCCACACACAGCTGGATGGCCGGCTCTCCCTTCAGAGTCAGCAGCTTAATTCTTTCTCTCTCTGGGCAGGAGTGAACTAAGCCATGTCCTG